TAGCCAGGTGTTCTAGAGCGGCAGACTGACCTCCAAAGGCAGTGCTGTCGCTGTATGGCTCAATGCTACGCAACGCTGAGGCGTGAAAGCGCGGAGGGTGAAGCGAGGAACAAGGAGCGAGGAGCAAGCCACAAGCACGGGACTCGATTGCCTAGCGACACCAGCCTGGTGGTTCTCGTCGTGTCGTTCGATCGTCCTTAACGAGGCGTAGTGTCGATCTTTTACCGAGAGATTTCCAGCTCGCCAGATCCAAACCCCTGTGCTGCTTTTTACGGGCCTCTTTCGCCCCTCTCCAAGATTTTTTCAGCGTTAGATCCCATCGAAGTTGCCCACACAATACCCCCAAAGGACCCCCAAACCGGATCCGTGCCCCTGCTAATCAGTTGGTCCCGGCTGACGACTCTCAATATCTGCGCTAGCTGGCCCTTAGACAAGCCCCGCAGCTGCAACACACTGCATGCACTGGTTCTCACTGGGCAGAAGAGATGGATTTGGTTTCGATCTTGCATGCGCTTCCGTTTGCTTCAGCTCTCCACTCTCCGAGATCTACACCACAGCATATCCGAGTAAGTAAAGTTGGCAAAAAAGAAAGGGCTCTATCCATACGCCATGGTAATACACGCAGTTCGAAATCGGTGTCATGTAGGAAGTCCCTACTTCCATGTAACGCGCGATAGCAACTCTCCTACTGTTGGGGGAGAAGGAACAGCAGAAAGACAAGGTAAGGCCGTCATGCATCCCCAGATGCAGTCGTCCCGAGAATTGGACGCAGATACGGGGGCATTCTGTCGTGTCAATCCCGTGTCGTTGAAAGAAAACTCTTGGGTAGGTTCGAGCTACCATTCGGTTTGTGTCACCAACACGCCAGCATTGATTGGAGGAACCGAACTTGAGAGAAGCGTGGTCCCTCCTTCTTGGGTGGTACGTAGCGCCCGTGCTCGAAACGAAAGTGGCTTGAAAACGTCCGAAAATTGTTGTAACACAACAGCACACACCGCGCTCATCAGCCGGGGTTTGACAGTATCATGGCGTTATCAACGTCCGGAAGGTGCCGATGAGTCCCTGGGCTCCTGGGCTTCTGGGCTCCTGATGTGCGCCATTGAGGCATATCCGTGAGCTCATAACCAAGACAACTTTTGGTTCCTGCTTTACAGGGATAGTGGCATCGAATGCTTTGCATTACGTATTCTGAAGCACTCGTAGGACGTGGAACTGTAAGTGATTGGTCATGCTAGCCCTGAACAAAGGCATTTCGAGTGGTCATGACGCTTGTTCGAACAGGTGACAGGCGCGAGGTGACAAGGAGGCTTGTCTACGGATTCAGGCTGAGCAGGTCATTCTTAGGCGTTCAAATGGAACAACGTCGACATGTCCTCTGCCAGATGGCCGAGTTAGCAGCGAATACCTTCAATACGGCATCTGCACTTACCTCCATGGTGATTGCGGCGGATGGCCTCAGCCAGAAGATTTGAGAGGTCGATCATAATGAGCTTCTTCGAGGCACGGATCCGCTCAGGCGGCACAGGAAAGGTATTTGTCACGACCACATAGTCAATGTAATCGCATGCTTCTAACTCTTCCAAGGAGTTTTCGCCAAACAGGCCATGGATTGCAATACAATAAACCTTCCTGGCGTGGCCGATCTTGACACAGGTTTCCGCAGCTGCAATCCACGAACCAGACCGATCCATAATGTCGTCCATCAGGAGAACAGTCTTCTCCTTGACGTTTCCTACAAGGGTGATTGTGTGCTCGAGGGCAGGATTCTTGATACCCTCTTCTTCCTCGTCCGATGTTGCTGCCGCGTCGAAGGTCCCACCCAGGGCGTGTTCGGGTTGAAAGGACGATGCATTTGATACAAACGAAGAAGTCATGGGATCATTGGTGGGGTTGTCTGTACCGTCTTGCAGAGGTCGCTCGCCCACGAGATTAGCGAGGGAAGCTGACATGCTTGACATTGCTGAAGAGGGATGGTCTTCGTCCACTAAGTGACCTTGGATCAGTCGACCCACGACTACGTCTCTTGCCCGCTGGTCGTTGTGCGCTTCACTAGCTTCGTACTCCGACGGTCGACGTGCGCTGGGAAGGGCTGGCTCGAGGCGGGATGACGGGTCGGGTGAAGCAGAAGGGGAAGGAGTTTCCGCCCTGGCCGCCTGGACTAGGGGGCTTGCTGCAATTGTGACTGCCTTTGGCCTGCCAATACCAGAGCGGCTGACACCGTTTAGCGTGGGACCCCTGGCACGGTGAGGAAGCCCTCGGTGGTGTGACCTCTCCGATTCATTGTCAGCATCATCAGTGTCGTCCCCATCCAGAAGGTGGTCGCGATAACGCATGGACTGTGGCTCAATGGCATCAAAAAATACGGTGCTGTCGGCCAGGTTGTTGTGATGGTGTGAATGTCGTGAACGATCCTTATCCGTGGACACGAGAGCGAAGCTGAGCTTGAGGGCGTCGGCCAGCGAAGTTACTCTCTTGGTGCCACCCACATTCTTGCTCACCACGACTGCATCGCTCCAACGGGGAACATTGGACTTGATCCATCGGGCGATGATCGGTTCCGCGAATAGGTTGTCGACGGGTTTGCCAAAGAACCCTTGCATCTGTGAGGCATGAAGGTCCACAGTGATGATGTGGTCCACCCCTGCTACCACCATGAGATTGGCCAACATCTTTGCGGTGACGGCCCCTCGATGGCTCTTCTTCTTGGATTGGCGAGAGTAGGGGAAGTAGGGCATCACAGCAGTGATTGACTTCGCCGAGCCGCCCTTGCATGCAGCAATCATGATGAGCATTTCCATAACACTGTCGTTGATGCGAGGACTCCCACTCTGCACGATGAAGACATCTTCGTTTCTAACAGAGACGCCTATCTGGACGCTGATTTCCCCGTTTGCGAAGTTACCGAGTTCGCATTTGGCTGGTGAAGAGCCCAGCCTCTCACAGATAGACTCGACGAGGGCGGGATGCGACCTGCCGGAGAAGACTTGAACGCCGCGCATGGTGGTCAACTGAACGGGTTGCGGAGATCGAGGCAAAGCAAAGAGAATAGTGAGAGCCTGACAACTCGCACAAAGAGTACTGACTGTCTCTCGACTCAGCTCAGTGTCATCGTCTCGAGGCAGGTTTCGTCCATGAATCTCTCATTGTCTGGAAGGTTACACAAGAGCGAGGGCAGCCGGAAGCAAGCAAGTGTGAAAGGTGGACGTGAACATTTTTTGAAGAGGCAGAGCCAATCGACCAATCACACAACACTTGAAAATACTCTCCACGTGACTATACGGTGGAGCGGTAGAATTCTCTGATTGTTTTTGTCAGACCGAGGGCAGTTCTGCCATTTGTACCTGGAATCACCAGCATAATCGCCCATTGCAGTTGTCAGACACAATATTACCCATTTTCCGAATACTTTTCCCGAACTGCACATCCTGTGCATTCCATATCATCCAGTATTATGACCCCCTTCGCAGTCAGGTCTGACTCCATGGCATTTGGTGACCATATCATTATGCGCTCATCATGCCTTCGAAATTCCCAGAGATCCAGGGTGGAGGCTCCCTGATTCTCGCATGGCAGATTAAAGGCAAAGAAGTCCTCGTCATCGGTGGTGGTGAGGTATGTTTTGATGGAGACCCCCATCCAAAATCTTGGTGGCACACAGCGCTGACTCGCAACTGCGCGTTAGGTTGCGGCGGGCAGGATCGTCAACTTGCTCAATGCCGACGCCAAAGTAACAGTGGTGTGCCCTCGCGAGGGCTTGAACGAGGAGGTGGCATTCCGCGTAGACCAAGGACAGGTCAAACACGTCGACCGAGTATTCCTCCCTCTCGATCTCGAGCCGGAAAAGAATGTCGCCATGGTCCTCAGCGCGATCGATGACCCCGATGCATCCACGCGCATATGGAAGTACTGCAAGAAATTGAAAGTCCCCGCCAACATCGCTGATGTGCCTCCCGAATGCGACTTCTACTTTGGCAGCGTCCACCGCGATGGACCCCTCCAGATCATGGTTTCTACCAACGGGAACGGCCCTAGAATGGCGGCGGCTATCCGCAGACAGATTGGTGAAATGCTACCCGAGGGCACGGGGGACAGCATCAAGAAGGTCGGGCAACTGAGGAGGATGCTCCGAAAGATTGCGCCGGGCAAAACCACACGCGACATCAGCAAGAGGATGGGCTGGATGAGCGAGGTTTGTGATAAATGGAGCACTGAGGAGTTCAACAAGATGAATGAGGAAGACATGGACAAGCTGGTGCAATTCTACGACAAGGGCGTTGTGCCGAGTTTTGAACAGATTCGGCTAGGATATCAGCGAGACGTGGTGTGGGAGTTTGACGGGTCATTTGGATGGATGTAGGTGTATCAAATATGTTTCTTATTCCTCCTCTGGGGTGAGGATTCGCATTGCTCTCAGGGCCGGTCGCAGATGGCGTGGCGTTTCTGTCCTGGCCATCACTACTCGATAGTTCTCAACACCAATATCATCATATTGTGCAGATGAGGTTCTTTGGTAGACTGAGATTACCTGGCACTGCTCGAGTACTTACACTAGGGGCGTAACCAGCGACCACATGGGGAGACGGATAGCGGCATGGAGGGGGAACAAGGGGGGGCAATCGGGGACACCCAGGACAAGAAATGCCTGATGACGTAGTTGGTTGGTCGTGCGAGCTGAACATCTGACACTACGATAGAATGCGCCCAACAGCAGCTCACGGCCCCAGTCCACTTCAGATGGCTTGACCTTGGTCAATGAAGTTTGCCAAACTATGTTCCCACATCTTACCTGTTCCGAGTCTTTTCGTCCGTCTTTTTGTTCTTTCCCATATTATTCCACTGCTTCAGTTCTGTCGACAAGATCCCCGGCAGTATCCTTGAACCGTCCTTCGCACATCGCCCACTGTATCGTCGCAGTCGCATGACACCGAACCGCGCGCGCGTACCAGTAATTACATTTCTGCCTCAGGCGGTAAGAAAAGAGCCGTAAAGAGTGGCCTAGGATGAAAGCGCTTCGCGAAAAGCTCAAAGGTCTGCCTTGTCAATCCTTCGGCCCGAACAGGTAGATGATTATCCCCATTTTAGATACCAAGCTGCACGATGCCAAAATCGAGGCTATCCATTTCAAGCACAAGATTGGCAAGCTCAAGAACCTGGTCAACAAGAACCATCGTCATGATGAGGAGCATGAACAAGAGACGGACCGCAAGAGAACAGCCATTTGCGAGTCTCATCGCTTCGAGTCCTTCTTCCCCGAGCGCGACAACAACCGCATCAAGTGGTATGTTGACGGTCGCGACTACTTCTGGGCCGTCTCGGTTGGTCTCGAGAATGCCAAAGAGACAATTTACATTGCCGACTGGTGGCTCTCGCCCGAGCTGTTCCTGCGCCGCCCGCCGTTTTTCAACCAGGAATGGCGTCTGGATCAAACCATCAAGCGTGCTGCCGAGCGCGGAGTCCAAGTCTATGTGATCGTCTACAAGGAGGTTCAGCAAGCCTTGACTTGTAATTCCGCGCACACGAAGCATGCCTTGCGAGCACTTTGCCCCGAAGGCAGCCCCGGGCACGGGAATATCCATATCCTGCGCCACCCGGACCATAACGTCTTCGAGAATTTTGGTGACATGACTTTCTACTGGGCGCATCATGAGAAGTTTATCGTGATTGACTACCACCTCGCGTTCATCGGAGGCTTAGATCTGTGCTACGGAAGGTGGGATCTCCGTCAGCATCTTCTGGCAGATGTCCATCCCTCCGGGGTGGTCAACGAAATCTTCCCCGGACAAGATTTCAACAATAACAGGTATGTCACAACACGACCCTCTATAAATCCCCAGACTGATAGGGTTTCCACGCAGGATCATGGACTTCCACACAGTCGAGGATTGGTCCAACAACGAACTCAACAAGACCGACTACGGCCGAATGCCATGGCATGACGTAGCAATGGCTGTGGTTGGCGACTCCGTATTAGATATTGCCGAACATTTTGTCCTGAGGTGGAACTTTGTCAAGCGAGACAAATACAAGCGAGATGAGAGTGTCGACTATCTGTGTATGACCACTCGATCCAGGGCGGATGGCTCCAACCCGGACGAAGACCTCATTGCGATTCAAAGACCAAAACACCCAGTGGGAAAGTACATAGAGCATCCTCTCAGTCCGCTTGAGGGCAAGGGTCTTCAGAACGCCGGTTCTGTTCACGCGCAGCTGGTTCGGAGCAGCGATGACTGGAGCAGTGGCATCTTACTCGATCACAGTATTCAAACCGCCTATGTTGAAGTGATTGAAAATGCCCAGCACTATGTCTACATTGAAAATCAGTTTTTCATCACTGCTACCGGCGAGCATCAGTCGCCCGTCCACAACCAAATCGGCCGAGCAATAGTCAATGCATGCGTCCGTGCTGAAAAGGAAAACCGCAAGTTCCGAGTCATCATACTCATCCCTGCCATTCCAGGTTTTGCAGGTGATCTTCGCAGCGACGCGGCTATCGGGACAAGGGCCATAATGGATTATCAATACAAGAGCATCAATCGAGGCGAACACTCGATCTTTGGACAACTCAAAGCCGCCGGGGTGGATCCCACCAAGTACATATTTGTCTTCAATTTGCGCGCCTATGACCGCATCGATAGGACCCCATCACTCATTCAACAGGAGAAAGAGTCTGGAGTGTCATACCAACAGCTCCAGCGTGCCGAGGCAGAGGAGATCATGGGCAGCGGCATCCATGGTTACGAAGGCGAAAAGACCGAAAAGGAATCCCGTGGCACGGGCGCCAACGTCAGTGAAGATGAACAACATGCCATTATTGACCGCAAGCGCCGGTTCGAGGCTGCGCGCAAGAAGCTCGACGTCAAAGACCCCGTCACTTCGGCCGAGTCAATCGCCGAAGATGCCATGGCTCGTGGCGGACTCGTTAGCGAAGAACCATGGGAAGGTGAACCCGAAGCCGAGAAGGACAACTTTGTACAAGAGGAACTCTACATCCACGCCAAATTGCTGATTGTGGACGACAAGACGGTGATTTGCGGATCGAGCAATATCAACGATCGTTCCATGTTGGGTTCGCACGACTCGGAACTCTCGATCGTCATGACCGACACCAAAGTGCTTGAATCGACCATGGACGGCAAGCCCTATCAAGCAGGCTACCACGCTGCGACTTTACGACGCCATATCTGGCGCGAACACCTGGGCATGATCGAAGCGCAATCCGTGGACGCGTCCAATGACCCCAATGCCCAACCACCAACCGTATGCATGAACGATGAGTACTCTGGCGAAGAATGGGAATTCGTGGCTGATCCCTTGTCCGACACACTCTGGGAAAAATGGACGGGTCAAGCCACTACCAACACTGACGTGTACCGCTATCTATTCCGCGCCGACCCGGACAACCACATCAAGACGTGGAAGGATTACGATGACTTTGCACCTCGCCAGACGATCAAACAAGGCCATTTACATGATCCACACATGCCGGTAGAGCTCGTGCGGAAGGAGTTGGACAAGATTCGGGGACATCTTGTTTGGATGCCCCTGGATTTCCTGTGTGAGGAGGAGATGGCAGAGAGAGGCATACAAGTGAATGCGTACACCGAGGTGAGTTTTTTTGTCTTTGAGGTTGAGTCAATGCGTGTGCTAATTGTGGTGATTTTCTGCAGAGCGTATACACGTGAACAGACACGGCATGCTGCCTCTAAAGCAGGGATGGATAGGGGGCGGCTCGCCTCAAGGCTCTTTGAGTCATGGAGGAATGATAGCCATGCATGGCTCTCGTTCAGGTCCTCGTCGCGTGGCAAGTTGGAGTGACGCTTAAGGTGCATGTTTGTGTTCAACTCATGCACAAAGCCGGAGAGGCTCATTACGGTGTGCACTTGAGGGTGCAATCTACCCAAGTACTCTGGAGTCTGGATACCCCTATTGCTGTTAATACATCAATAAAGCCTTGTACGGCTAAGACACCAACCAAAAAAACAAAAAAATTAAAGGGATGATATGGTATGAGGCGGCCAAGCGGTGGCTCACTGTCGGCTGACCTGAGACTGTCATGGGCGTGTCGCATTACTGATATACCAACAGTACTGAGTATGAGACAGCAGGACTTTTTCGCAGGACTTTTTCGTTCTTACGTACCTGAATACCTTGTTCTCGTTCCCTTCTCTCTCTCTCTCTCTCTCTCTCTCTCTCTCTCTCTCCGCCATTGAGCCACTACACCGAGTATTCTACAGAGGTAAAAAGTAGGTCAAAACCTTGCCTCAAAGGAATCTAGAACTTCAGACTGTAGACTCCAGACTCCAGACTCGGGATATACCCGATGATTAAATCAGGGAAAGGCCTTGAGAGAATAGAGAAACAACAGAGAAACAGAGAACTAGAGAATCGAGGAGCGTGCGATTGAGTGTCATGCATGCATGCGTGCGTGCGTGCGTGCGATATTCTGTTACATTTTTGGCACTAGCATTTTACTTTTTTTGTCCGGGGGGGTTTTATTTATCACGCGGCGACAGCGGCATCGGCATCGGCATCCAGATCGCCCACCGCCTTCTTCAGCCTGGTCCAGTCCTCGTCGCCGACCTCCTCCCACGCCTTGCCGCGGCCGAGCACCCTGCGCGCCGCGCTGCGGGCCTTGAAGCGCCATTTGGCCTCGACGGCGCCGCCGGTGCGCTCGCGCTGCAGCGGGCCGAGCTCGCGGTACCGCTGCATCATCCACACCGTCTTGTCGACCACCCGGCGCCACTGGTCGCGGGCCACCGTGTCAAAGTCCTCCGAGGCCGAGACGGCCGCGAGCTGGGCGCGCCACGACTTCTCGCTCCACTGCAGCGCCGCGTGCGGGCGTCGGCGCCACTGCGCGACGCGGGAGAGGAGCGTCCACAGAGCGGGCGAAGAGGTCGCGAGCGGCGCGATTTGCGTGTCGATCAGGTGCAGGAATGAGCGGGCCGTGTAGGGCAGTCTCCCTCTCTCCGTCGTCGCTGTCGCTGTGGTTGACGAGGTTGTTGTCGAGTTGGGGACCGGTGGCGATGTTTCGACCTTCTCGCCTTGCCCGTTCTGCTCTGTCCGCTTTTCCTCGGGACGATTCGCCCCTCGGGCAGTCCCTGCTTCGTCGGCAACACCCACGCCGTGGTCCTGCCCATCCCCGCCTGTCGATGGGTACGTCCAGGTCCCTGTGACATAGTCTGTGAGGACGCCCAAGATCTTTAGATCGATGCATTTCTCTCCTTCCTTCTTGCCGCGAAGCTCCACCACGCGCCCCATGGCCTGGATGACTTCCCCCCACGGCGTGTTCGCCGATGGCGGTATGCTCGCCGCCACTGTGAGGTAGTTGTCCCAGATCCGAGCGTCGTCCCTCTTCAGGGTCGCCGCGCGGCGCAAGGCTCGGAGAGCGTCCCGCAGATGCCGGTACGGGTCAATCTTCTGTTTGGCAAGAGATTCCGAGGCGGCGTGAGCTTCCGTGTCGGCCACGATTTCCTCGTCGTCGAGTGGCCCAGGAGCGGTGGTCGTTGCAGTGTCCTCGCGGTCTGTTTCGGGCACATCGGCCAACGCGGCCATGGGCTTGTCTAGCCTCAACAACGCCACAGCCAGATTTGACCAGCTCTCGGCGTCTCTGTCGTCCAACTGTACACATCGGGTAAAGCTCTCGACCGCGGAGATCCACTCCTCCTGCTCTAACTGCAGACACCCCAAAGCGAACCAGCTCGCCCGGTCGAGGCGAGAGATACCCAGCGCGAGGGTGTACGCTTCTGCGGCGCGCGGGAAGTCGCGTCTCTTGGTGTAGTACCGGCCGAGCGAGCGCTGTGCACGGGCATACCGGCTCGACGAGACGGTCCATGCCAGGGAATAGTGGGAGGGATCATCGGTGATGTCGCCTAGGATGCAAAGGAGGCGGGGAGCGTCTGCCGGTGGAGGAGAGCGAAGCTTTCTGTCAGCATCTGCAGCCTGCGAATCCTCAAACAACAGATCCTTGAGCAACTCCACAGCCTTGCCCTCCTGATCCGTCGCTGCTAGACACAGTGCCACTTCCGCGTACATCTGCAGTCGGTTGTAGATATCCAGCGCTGTTTTGAGGCCACCCAGTTGAGCCCAGCGCTGGGCGAGTTCAGCCTCTAGCTCCCATCGAAGCGGCGGGGCGAGTTGGTATACGTACTTCAGACGCTCGGCCACGGACGCGGATTCCGAGGGGTTTCCCTTGGGGAGGAACGTGGTTGCGCCTTTTGTTGACGGGTCTGCTGTTTCTGTGGAGGACGTCGTTCGGTCCTTCGTATCTGATGCCGAAGCTCTGGGATCTGATGTCGTTTCGACAATGACCTGATCGACCAGCGCTTGCAACTGTAACAGCCCCCTCTCCGCGGTACGGGATCGGTAACCTTCGATCCTACTTCTGACCAGCAGAGCTTGGGTATACACTTGCCAATTAGAGGACCCGCCTTCCAGGACTCGAGTCGCATAGGGCAGAGTTTCTTCCCTCACCAAACCGTCATCTGGAGAGGTATTGGTAATGCTGCTCGCGGTGGCAAGAAGGATGATACTGTCCATGGGGTAGAGCAGCGGCTGGCTGGCCGGATCAAGAGATGCGAGTTGAGAGGGGATGTTCGAGTCAGGGGATGCAATGTGTGTCATTGTGGCTTCGGACACCGGCACAGCTGAATCAGCGGATTGGAACTCGATCCGTTCCAGAAGAGTGTCGTCGTTGAGAGGCAAATTCTCGGGTTTTGTCGCCGCGCTGCTGGACGTACTCACAGCTTCACCACGGTCAGACTCTGCGATAGCATCGCTAGATTTTGCGGCCTCGGCTCTACTGCCCTTACGACTGCTGTACGGTTCAGGCTCGTGATCCCGACTTTTGGCCAGAACGACAAGTTGGCTGATATCCCGGTCCTGGAATTTCGTCCTTTTGCCCAATGCGCCAGTCAACACGAATTGAAAGTGTCGCGTCGTTGCGGCCTTGGCCAGATCTGCCCTCGCCAACGCATCGTCGCCGTAGTGTGTTCGAACCACCGCTCGCTCGATGAGGAATTCGACAAAATGTTCTTCAGCAGCCGCTCCCCCAAATGCCAAGCGAGATGTAAGTTGGCGCTCGAGGACCTCGGCATCCAAATAGATGGCGTCCCGGAGTGAGGGCGACTCTTCAGAGAGGAGTTTCTGGTGCCAGAAGTTGACTCGAAAGCGTGCCCGCCGGCCGTTGAAACCAGCTTCAGCCAGTGTGGGATTCGACAAGATGACTTTGGCGAGCCAGAAGAGCTCAATGTGCGGCGTCAGCGGGTAGGGACGAGAGCCATCAACGGAAAGGTACTCAAACAGTGCCTGTTTCAGTGATCCAATGTCCTCATTTCGGTAGATGTCCGGAAATATGACCTCGTCCGTGTTGAAATCCAAGGGAGGTCCAGTACAGTTGGCTTGTAAGAAGGCCTCGAGCGCGGTATATCCAATCTTGAGGAACGAGAGCTGCTGCATGGCATCGTTCAGCAAAAACTTGACCCGCGACGTGACCCCACTGATGAAGGGTACTGGTTCTGCGTGCAAGGCCTCAAACCCCAGCAACTTACGAGTCAACGGGTCCTGCAGAATTTCGAGAAAGGAAGTCCCCATCTTGGGATAGGGGTAGAGGTGTTCCATTGCGGCGACGTGCTTGTCTTCGACCTCTGACTCACGGCGGATTTCCAGCGAGGAGAGAGGGCTCGAGACCCTAGTCGTAAAAGTTCCCCCGTCAGAGGTCTGCGTCGCCGCTAGATCAACAGCCTCCTCACCAGACCACCAGCGTTCAACCTCGTCTCTGGCCGCTGGTGTTCCCTGTCGCTGTATGCGTGCGACGATAACTATCTCGCGGCGATGACGTGATGTGATATGATGCCGCCCAAACCCTACAAGCTGTTTTGGACCGCTTTGGGATCTTTGGGGGGGAAAGAAAGAGGGCACTCCGAAGAATAGCGCATTTAGAGATCAGGCGTCGCACCGAAAATTTCTCTTTCTTCGAGGGTCGAAATTTCTAGCAGCAAATGAGATGCCCGTGCCGGACTTGGGCTCACAAACCTGTTGGGAAAGGAAAGCGACTCTCCCAGAAGAGGCTCTGTCGGGTTCATCCTCTAGACACTGCGAAGGACCAGAAGAGACATTATAGGAGGAGTAGAGAGATGGTCGTCAGCCCTATTGCTCGTTTTCTGAGGAGAAGAATGAACGCAACGGGCAAACAGCAACAGCAACAGCGGGGAAAATGCGATGGGAAGAAAGTTTCTGGTCACGTGTGCAAATTTCACTGCAACTTCATTTCACTTCATTTCAACTCGTGTCCAACCAAAAGAAAACACACACATACACGCTTCATCATCTTCGTCCACCAGCAGAAAACATGGTCGAAAATCGTCATCTGAGTCACTGCTGCTGTTGGTACAATTTCCATATGTGACTGTGGGTTCAAAAAGACTGTTTCACAATACAAAAGCGAGGGTATCTCCCCAAAAAGTATCAATGTCAAATCTGCTCCGTCTTGCTCCCTCCAGTCCCCTATCTCGGTCGGTCGCTGGCTAAAGCTCCACCAACCAAAAAAAAAAGAAAGAATCATCTCAGTACCAGGGCTTTTTTGTCTATATCCGCTTGCCAGTTCGACCGGCCTGGGCCGCCTTTCTCTTTCTATATACACTTCTATATTGGATCCGGCCAATGGTGCCCAGTCCGTAGGCCAAGAAGAACAAGAATGTCCACGCGCAGGTGACAATCAACCCCGTGGGGAAGATGCCTAGGCTCGTGCCCGGGAGGACGAAAGGAACTGCGGCAGTGATGGCCGCGGCGGCCACAGAAGGGCTAACGAGGACGTTCTTGAATTCGTCCTTGAATTGGCCTACCACGAACCAGGCGCCATCCGCTGCACTGATGTTGGCGTTGATAGGCGTCAGAGAATTGGTGGCAGCGTTCAGCTTGATGTCCGGCAGCATCAGCGACATGATTTGGGTGTCATTCAGCATGGCGAGATCCAGGGTTTTTTCAAACGTCCCAAAGAGGGTGTATTGTTGTACTTCGGCCATGCTGCTTTGGCGTGCTTCCAAGTCTCGCTTCCTCCGCTTGGTTAACGACTGGAACGTGGTGCTTGCGGGATAGGTCAAGCTGATCATGATATCGTTGATAGGCACATTCTCAAAGTTTCCAGACGGGGGAAACATTGAATAGAGTCGAAGATCCGCCTCGAAGGCGCCTTGCTTGCTGTCGTACTGCATGATGTTGTAGCACGCGGCGAGACCAGCAGCATTCTCGACCGAAGTGAGTGATTTGAGGTTATTGACGCAAGCCGTCGCGATCGTTTCATTTAACGCTCCCGTTGGAGCCGCCACGGAAAGAGAGCCGGTTGAGGATTGCGGCTCTCGTCGCAGAATCTTATCCGCCTCTTTCTCCATCCCATCTTCCCAGGCGTTTCTCCTTCTGATAGCATCGGGCAGATGGAGAATGGCCTTCGCCGAGATGATGTCGACCTCGGCCAAGAGCAACACCGCCGAAGCAATAATAGTTGTCAAATGCATTTTTGGTTTCCGAGGGTTTCCGGAAGGGGGTTTGATATCGGTTTTCCTTCGGTAGTGATTGTTGGATATGTGGTAAAAAGTGGTCGTCGAGACCGGTGATGCGAGGATCAAGCACTGCTTGCTGAAAAGGAATGGAGGCACGGCCAGCGACTGCCAGAAAAGAATGAGGAATGCTCTTAGAAAACGGGGGAGAGGAACCTGTCCACGAGCATGGAAGGTCGTCGACGGGGGAGGACAAGGAAAAAACAGAGCAAACAGACAGGAGGCCCGGTGCAAAGAAAAAAGAGAGTGGTCTGATTAGTGTGACAGCTACCGAGTACAGGAGGAGGAACCCCCCAGATCAATATAAAACATTTACTGTAGGGGAACTCCCTGGGCCAAGGAGGGTTGACACATGGCTGGGTGGGCTGCGATGGAGACTTGGTCTGTGGGTGTCGATTTGGCCAACCTGGGCCATTGTGGTCTGTAAGGAGTCCTCGGTACCTACCGAAGGGTGATAAGGAGAGAGACTTGTCGACGGGTTACCTTGGAATAGGCCACGCTTAGGATAGTTGAGAAGACAAGTGGATTCTGGTGTGAAACAACAGAAGCAGGTGAACGGCGCAGCACGAAACGCGAAAGTGGGATGTCGCAACAGAGGTTGCATGGTGCCAAGGTAGCGCGAATTCGCCGAATGATAGGTAGCCTTCTATACTTGGCTAGGTTAGAGAAGTACCGAGTAGGTAGTACCTCGTACTTCGTCGTGCCACTGATGTCGGTGTGCTCTCAACAGAAAGGTCCATGAGAAGGGATGAGTGGACCTTTGAAGGGGGGGGCAGGGGCGGGGTTTCTCTGAAGATTCGACACAATGGCTTGCAGCCAACAGGAGACAGGGGCAGGGGACAGAGTCAATTTCGTCAGAATTATTGGACAGGAGGCTCTTCGGGTGGGGCATCAGCGGGGCCTGGCGGGACTGAAGCAAAAGGAGGCGTCCCCGCCTATCGTTTGAGAAACGCAATCTTGAAACAATGCCATCGGCTCTATCCATTGGTCGCTCGTGGAAAATGACCCCCTTTATCCATTCGCTGCCCAGCGTCCGACCTTTTCCCTCGTCCGACCCCGTCTCTACAAGTACGTCCGATAACCTGTTTCGAGGCCGATCGTTTCAGCACTTCTCATCCAACCATCATACAATGGCAATTAGAAAACCGAAACTGACAGGTCCATCGCCGACCCAAAGAAGACCATGCCGTGTTTATTCTTGACTTAACCGCGCAGTCCAGAGGCTGGCATTGAATCCACCTTTGTCGTTGTTATTGTCAACGAGGCTGACTTGGTTGATTTCCGTGCTCTTCCCGTTTTGCGCGCGTTACCAGTGAGACTCATAGTAGATGAACATTGACTGCATACCGAGTAGACATTGCGCATATCGGCTCATTGAATCGATATTTGTTGCTCAGCTGGACCACCCAGCCACGATACATTATGCAAAAGCCTCCACATAGTTGGCCACACAGATTCAAACGCGCTGTGAAGCCCCGTGTGCCGTTTGAATTCAACAACACTCGTCGCCTGTTACACTCCCGTCAATCCCTCTGTGTTGGACACATGACCTAATTTTGAGACCCTTGCACCATCCTCAAAAAGTCCCGTACTCGGCCTAGCTGCGAATTGTTGCTCATATCCTTCTGCTCACTTATAACCGCTTGCACGAGTCCGTCCAGTAAGGCGTCAACCTTATCTTCATCGGCGCCCGTACACAGGCTCACAATTTTCTTGTACCGTGCTTCGAGCTCCACACTGTGGGCTTTGAGCACCTTGGCCGTCTGCTCCAATTGTTGGTTGTGTCGCTGATACACCTGAACACGCCCCGACACCACCTCCGCTCTTTCAAGGCTGCCCAAGAGGTTGAGTTGCTCCGGTGTCAATGCTACCAGGCCAGCGTCGATTTCGCCATCAGGGAAGAACTGTGTCACGAGCGGCAGTTGTCCCTCAAGGTCGAGGCCTCTATCCGCTTCTCCGACCATAACGTTGTCTTGAATCGTGTTGAGCGGATTGGCATCGCTCAGCTCGGTGCGAAGTTTGGCTGCCGCTCGACGTAGATTGCTGATTTTCTGCTCTAACTCGTCTTTTTCCCGCACTTTGGCTCGATTTTCTTCTAGCCGCCGCCGCTCCTCTGCGAGCGAATTGCCCGACTCCTTCAACGCGGCATTGGTTTTGTCTAGGATTTCCTTCCTTTCCTTCATCTCAGCTGCAAAGTCGGCCTCGGATTGAGCGAGAACTTCTCGTATCGCTGTTACCATTAGCATCACAGAACATACTTGGTGCCACATTACTTACAGGCCATGAGCCCTTCTTGAGCCTCTTCGAAGGATTTCTGTGTTGACCCGTTCGCCACCGAAGGCTGATCGAACGCTGCAAACGTTTGGTCAAACATGTGGGAGTTGACCGGTCCGCCACCCACCCCAAAATCTGCCGGAGACAAGCCACCACGGTTGCTGATGTGCGGATCTGCACCGACCTCAACCAACTGATCAATGATAGTAGTCGTGCTTGTTCTTGCTGCCAAATTCAAAGCTGTATCTCCTGTTTTGTCTTGTGCGTTGACAATCTCCGACATGAATCTCGCTAGTGTCATGGGGTTTGTCTGGCTCAGCTTATTGAGTCCGCCCGTCGCATCAAACTGCGTGCTTGATTTTGACGATGTGCCTTGTCGAATCACATACTCGAGAAGAGACTCGAGGTAGTACTTCCCGACTGCAGCCCTTCCCTTTATCGCAGAGGCAACGGCGATGTGATGGAGCATTGTTCGCCCACGTCCGTCTCTAACTTCGATGCTCGGACCGAGAAGCTCCAGCAGAGCAGGGAAAGAACCTTGATCGAGATTGTTTCTCGCCTGGCACGCAGCGATCAATGCTGTTTCGCCGCCGCTGTTTGCTCGCCTCATATTGAATCCCTTCTCGAGCAACTTTCGAACGAGAGCAATTCGACCTAACGTGGCCGCCCAGTGCAACGCAGTATTAGATGAGCCATCAATAGGCACCTCATACTCATCGCCACTCAACCGCAAAAAAGCTGCATGGTCGTCAAAATCTGTTCGTGAAGGGTCGATGAAAAGGTCGAGTAAGAGTTCCTTCTTTTGCTCCTCCAAAGGTCCAGATGGGTGAGGAAGTGGCTCCAGGCCATAAGGCAGCGGATCCGCAGAGATAAAAGCTTGCCCTGATTGAGAAAAAAATGAAACGTTCGGCTCTGTAGGGACGCTGTCCTGCATGCTGAGATCTATAGCGCCATCGTACAGGAATGATGACTGTGGTGAAGGTCGAACGCGTTTGCGCGGCGGCTCCTGCGAATCTGTCGTAGGGAAATCCACGAAGCTCGCACCTTGGCTCATGATCCCTCCGTTTGTGCCGAAACTATCTTGGCTCGTCATACTCGGTATGCTCTGTTGGCTGGCATACATGGTCTCCTGGCTATAGCCAAATGATTGGGACTGTTTTCTGGGGCCGATGGAGCGTCGTCCGTCCATATTGGGAGAGTCGAGCCTCGTTCTATTCAAGGCATGAATAGCGTTTGCTGCGGTACTGGACATGCTTTTGAAAAAGGTGCCCCCGGTCGGATGCCCGCCCCCGCGGCTGTCGCCACCATACATTCGCTTTCTCTGGGCTGCCATGGCTTGTTCCTTAGTGGGCGTCTCGATGCCCTGGGAGACTCCAGGCATACCATCCGAATTAATGTCGTACTCTAACAGTGGTAGGAGCAGTTGCTCGACACCATACTGTCTGCAAAATTCTCGACCGCGCTGGTAGTTGACCCAAGTGCCCTGATACTTTCCATAGCCACCTTGGACTTTTTCATGCTCACCCGAGATTTCCTTTTCGAGCACCTTCGTTCTTTTGCCCTTGTCCACCCCCGCCACCTTGAGAATCTGGGTCGCGTTCAGCCAAGAGTCTGCTCGGCGTCGCATGACAGCTACTCCGTTGACTTCCATCTCGAAAACCGACACATTGGAGTAGACGGCAGTGTATATCTGTGGCTTGAGCCCGTTCGCATAGTAGTCGGGTTGCGCGAACGCATTCGCTTCCGAGTAAGAACCGAAGCTATTGGGCGGTGCCATCATCCCTCCATTGGTCATGGACGCTGTTCCGTTCATACTATACACCATCTGTTGCTGCGCGGATAAACCTTGCTGATGTTGGTGCTGAGATGCAGGTCTGGGGGGTGGAGGAGTGGGTGCTGGTGTAGAGCCTATCGACTGGCCTTCAAACGGGCCCATGGGCGGAGGTTGTTGGGGAAAATTTGGGTTCATAGAGGTGGAATGGCCGTGCTGAGGGAAAGGTGGAGGGGGTTGCGCGTAGACTCCTGAATGAATGCCTCCCGATGCCATCATTATCGACAAGAGTCAGAAGAAATCGGACCCGGGGAACTGGTCGGGTACAGGTATGTGGACTGCGTGTCAGGGCATGTCGGGTGCGCACACAGCGCTGTCCAGCCTGTTGTGGGGAATGTTCTTCCTTTTCAGTGATAAAGGAGATCCTTTACCAGGTAGCTTTTCCTCGCACTACTTTTTTTTCCTCTTCTGGCGGGACTGGGTACAAGATTCAGCTCACCGGACAATCCAACCTCGATCAAACGCGACCCAGTGTCGAGGCAGTAGGTAGAGCAATGAGGACGGTGCCGGGTCGACCTTTGAAGTTCAATATCGGTGAAGCTAGTGTGTATGGCGGGAAGGATGGTCGAAGAGTTTCTCGGCGCCGACCAGCAAGGGAATGTTTCGCATGGACACAGACCGGATGGAGTTGCGGTGGCAGTCTTTTGCTGTAGTTGTGGGATACACAGTCAGAAGCTGCAAACTGTCGTCTGAGAGTTGGTCAGGCGGTTTGCGCAGGTTGTCGGTCGTCTGTTCGCCAGGAAAGAAATGGGCGCAGTCGAAATTGAATCACGTCTCCAGCAGCAAGTGAGGTGTGGAGCGGGGGAATTGGCCGCTGCTTCTACTTCTGGCTCGATTTGTCCCATTTGTCCCATTTGTCGCGTCGCCCTTAGCGCGTTTTACACGCACCACCCGAAAAACTCACACTGACTTCAACTTTTCGGTTCTCCTGATTTGGCACCGACTACATGCCGCCCTCACACCAATAAGGGGTTTCAAGCGCGGAATCTTGAGGTGGAGGATACATTCAACCATTCGTCAGGGGCTGTTGGCAGAGAGGGCGATGCTATCACAACGGCTCACAGCGCGCGGCCACGAGGCATTTCAAAAGACTTTCGCGACTTGGTACAGCGACCTTTGTGAACATCGATCGAGCAACCAACTCGCAAGGCTAGCTCTCGAATGTTCCCGGACTTACTGGCAGCTTTGGTGAAGACTACTGCCTACCGAGCTTCTTGACGATGTCAGCACCGCCTGATTGCGGAGTGACGCACAAGGATCGCCAGCTGCCCTCCCTTTACAGGTTATTGATTAGTTCTGACTCTCCATCTCCAGAGGACAGTAGACGACATCAAAGGCATAGCGGCTCTGGCAGCGGTCATGGTGACATCCACTTCTTCATTCGCCGTCACACTGTACGCTTTGCTCCTCTGACCGGAATCTGCCATCCGTTTCCCCCGCAAGCGGCCGAACGGATCTATGCCACTGCGCAGTGACAATAAAGACATTATGGCAGCTAACATTGCAGACGGGATGGGAACCATCTGCTTGCTGCTATGCAAAAGAGTTAGCGAAGAGCAATGAGCCGGCGCTTGCTTCCAAGGTTTCTTGCAGGAGAAAACAAAGCCGCATGGCACCTCAACCACAGTTAACACAGCCACTCCCACGGGAGTCTGCATCTTGCCCTGTCGGTTTGAGGGCCCATATATCCCCATCCTCTGCATCAATCCTTTTAGACGGGGATTGTTGAGGTTGAAAATGGCTTTCTACATGTTTGCGCTACGACCGCCTGAGGTTTGTCCCGCTCGACCACCTCATGCACATTCTCGGCTCCACGATCCCGGGATCGGAGTAGCTGGCCCCAAGGGCGGCATTTGCAGAAAGGCCCACGATAGAGTGGAGGGAGAGGGGGTCTGTGGGTAGTTTTGCAGTCGAGAACGGCTCCTCTGATCTCATGTACTGGATCAGCCAGGGCCTCCCAGGCAGGACCATCCGCCAACTCTGGAGCAACCCTCTCCCAAACACCTTCAAAAAGTTCACGCTGGTCATCCAAAGTCCAGCTTCGGGAGAAATACTTCTCCGCCCACCAAGGAAAGTACCCAGACTTTTCCCAGTCGATAATCGCAATGATCTTGTCGTCCTTGACCATGATATTACACAGGGCCAAATCCCCATGGGTCAGCACATACGGCCCTCCTCTTGGAAAGTCGTCTTTTAGCTTCTGAAGCTTCTCTTCAATCACTTTCTCGTCTTTGGTCCTCCAAATATAGGAAAGCCCACCACGGACAGTTTCCGAAATGTCCTCTAGCCACTCCTCGTCCGTGCGTCCCACTTTGAAACAGCTGGGAGGACACAGCCCGGGCAGGCGGCGATGAGAGCATCATGGAGTTTGTCGTCATTGACCTTTTGGGGATAAGGGGCGGTGAATTGTCGCAATTGTTTGAGAATGGTCACCATTTGATCCCTGTAGCCTGCTCTCTGTTCAGGAGATAATTTGGCCCAGACTGAACTTAGCATCTTCCCCTGGGCTCGAGACACGAGTGTGAATTGTAGGGGATCTTGAGGTTTACTCAAAGGTATCATCTCTTCCACCAAAGGGATATTCAGACCCGGTTGTTCTTTGAGAAACTTCCATGTCATGTATTCATTCCCGCGTGTGTGGTCGTTTGTCTCACCCCTGAGTATCCACCTGGATCCAATTGCCCAGAACCCCTTGTTGAAACGACGTGCATAATTCTGACCCGCGGTGAATAGCTACTGCAGTCTTGCTCGTACGTAGTCCAGCCACAGGCCCAGCATAACTCAACTGGCGGATCCTTTCCGCTGCGTATATCCCATCCGAGTTCTTGCCATTCTTTGGGGACATCGGCCTTGATGTTGTCATAGTGGCGTTCTGGATGGGTATAGTCGTGTTCGACGGGTTCGTTCCCATCTTCACAGTACCAATCGATCCTCGTGATAGCTATCCGAAGAAAGGATGGAGAGTGAGAATAACAACAAGCAGAGGACAGGGATTCCGGGAATTTATAGTCGCAGCTAGGTGAACAGATTGTTGGAGAGACTCTCGGCGTCCGCCTCAAAGGCAGAATCGAGTTCCGCAAACGACAGGTATTCAAGTTTCCAGACCGTCTTTGTTGTAGAAGATACAATCCGGTAGCATTCTTCGAGCAGAATCGAAGCCCAGCCTCCCTCTATACCCTCGCCGAGGATTTGGCTGCAAACGTCAATGTAACGCGAGTGTCGCGGGCACCAAAGTTCCTGAGCGAACACACGGTACAAAGGTCCTGGACTAAGAACTTGTGGACCTTACTGCCATTGAGATCTGTGCTCTGAACTTGGCACATTCCTCCCCGGGAATGGACGATTTGTCAAGTGGCATTGTATCGGGTAGCCCCCTCCATTCCCTGACCATACTGCTAATATGGTTGCAAATTTCTGAACGCGACATATCCCCTTTGTCCGAGACATCCAGGGCTTTCTGTTGTGTCAAGATCCGACGACCACTGGCGACCACACATTCCGAACAGCGACAATTCATCGCATTAGAGCCGAACATATTCCGACGGCAGTAGGAGATAGCTATTGAGGGAAGGTCTGTGTCAACTCATCGATCCACGGGACGATTAGCTGTGAGAGATATGACAGCTGGGGCTCATCGCTCGCTACATGGTGAAGATGTAAGCCCCCACGTGCCCAACGCCCCCCCTCTTCCCAGCCTCGTAGCCTCGCGGCCTTGGCAGCTCCACGGCCCCTTTTAGGATGGTCGCCAAGGGCTGTTATCCCCGCACTAAAAAATTATTATCTCCGCGTTCATGATTATATTTTCCTGTGCACAACACCACGACCCGCAATCAGTCCCAGTGACTTCAAGCTATCCAATTCCAACATCACAATGCCTCGCCAGGCGCACGGGAGGCCACCTCATGCCCCCAGGTCGTATACCGCCGCTAAGAGGAAGCCTACCGGAAACCGCGGACTGAACGCATTGGAAATTGCGGAGCGAGAACATCCCGACGAGATTAAGATTCGACAACATCGGCTCGGGCAGGTCGACGATGACTCTGAAGACCCACACGGGAGGACAGACGCAGACGAGCGCTCGTCAAAGAGGAGGAAACTTGCTACCACGGCTGCCGATGAGCTTGAAGAGGAAGGTTCGGACCTCGAGGGCAATAGATGGCATCTTGGTATAAATGAGGACGATGAGGACAGTGACATTGATAGCGAAGACGCGTTTGGCGCAAGCGACGAAGAAAAGTTTGCCGACTTTACATTTCGCGGAAGCACTACAACATCCGCGGAGCCCAAGCGGCGGGACGAGGGGTCTTCCATGAAACCTCGAGTCGACCTCGATGAAGGGGATAACGCGCAGGAAGAAAGCGAGAATAGCGACGACGAACCAGATGATGACTTCGGGGATGAGGCTGTGGACTTGGCCACGGCCTGGGATATGGACGACCAGGACCAAGACAAAATTTCGAAAAGGCGTCCCAAACCCGGGGTGCAGCTCACCGACAATGATCACCATGAAGTCGAAGACTCCCTGTCTGAACTCGGTGACAACGAGGAATCAGACGACGAGTCTGAATTGTCATTTTCAGAAGACGAAGGCGATCATTCTAGGCTCCAGAATTTTGTGGAAGGGCTATCAGGTGGAGACAAGAGCCAGGCTACGATCAAACGTCGACATCGTCTAAACCTCCCAAATATGCCCTCTCAATTTGGCCTCAGCACTGCTAAAATCTCACCCAGCGAGCTTCTACAGTATATCAAAGACCCTCGTCAAAGACAATCTCTGAAAATCTTACAGAGCAGTGAGGGCCGGGGCAATGAAGCCTACACAGCGGGAATTCCGGGAAAACTTGCCCCGCCTCTGGCGAAAAGGCAGCAGGATCGTCTTGATCGTTCTGCAGCATACGAAGAGACGAAAAAGGAGTTGGGCAAGTGGATCGAAAGTGTCAAGCAAAATCGACGCGCAGAGCACCTTTCATTCCCCCTTGTTGATGCTGCAGCAGCTGGTATGTTGAGCAATAAGCAATTGGGACCAACCTCGACTGCGGAGCCTATGAATTCGCTCGAATTAACGATCCACCAAATCATGATGGAAAGTGGGATGCATTCAAACGCTAGCAGAGCCCAGGAAGCTCAAGAAAATGCCTTCGAGGAACTGCAGGAGAAGCAAATGCCGCTGGCAGAAGTCCAAGCTCGTAGAGCAGAACTGCGGCGGACGCGGGATCTCATGTTTCGTGAGGAGATCCGTGCACGACGGATCAAGAAGATCAAAAGCAAGGCATATCGACGCGTCCATCGCAAAGAACGCGAGAATATGAATCAAGAGAATCGAAAGCTGCTAGCAGCGCAGGGCTTAATCGGTTCGGACGAAGAAAGAGAAAAGAACGAGCGCCGGCGTGCTGAGGAACGAATGGGAGCGCGTCACAGGGAGAGCAAATGGGCCAAAAGCGTCAAGACAACAGGCAGGGCAGCGTGGGATGAGGATGCCAGACACGGAGTCACTGACCTTGCAAGGCGCGATGAAGAACTTCGCAGGCGAGTTGCAGGCAAGGCGAGCGCAGGGTCAGACGTGTCTGATTCAGAGTCTTCCGGTTTCGAAGGGTTCTCTGGCTCCGATGACGAAAAAGAGAGGCTAGAGATGAAGCTCGATGATGTCGAACGCGATCAAGTCGATGCGTTCGAGACGAGACTCGGCTCGATGGCGTTTATGAAAAAGGCAGAAGCTGCGAGGAAAGCTGCCAATGAGGAAGAGATTCGCAACCTAAGACGAAGTCTGCATGGCGACGAAGGGAGATCGGTCGACGAGGGGCATCTCGATCATGAAACCCCAGTGGGACGCCAAAAGTTTGGAGTGGGCAACCGAGATCTTCCTCTGAAGCCTCAAATCCACGTTTCTAAGAGTGAGTTTGAGGAACGTGACTCAGAGGCTGAGGTTGAAGATTCAAGAGCTCAAGACGAAATAGGAGGATTGGACGGCGACGCACCACCGCTCACCGCACCCGCAAACGAAGAAATCAAACCAAAACCGTCGTTGAAGCGCCCCGGCGCAGCAAAGCAGATGGCAAGACTAAACTCCAATGGCAACTTGTCACGCCAGGATCCTTTACATAGCGTAGCCGGAGACGATGGACACTCGATCAAAAAGGTGGCGCGGGTGCCACAGAGCCACCTCGACGATGCAATTGTTCCATCCGAATCAGAAAATGAGCCAGATGACAGAGTCGCTCTTGCACAAGCGATTTTTACGGGCTCGGATGAAATTCAGCAGGAGTTTGCCAAAGAAAAGAGAGAAGTAGTGGAGGAAGAAGAAGACCAAGTGGTTGACAACACCCTTCCTGGCTGGGGAAGTTGGGCAGGAGAGGGTATCAGCAAGAAAGCACAGAAAAGAGCCCGGGAACGGTTCGTTACGACGGTCAAGGGTGTTGCCCAAGAAAAGCGACAAGACTCCAAGCTGGAAAAGGTCATCATCAATGAAAAGCGTGTCAAGAAGAACGGCAAATATTTGGCCAGCGAGCTACCCCATCCATTCGAGTCACGACAGCAGTATGAACGATCGCTGCGCCTGCCCTTGGGACCTGAATGGACGACAAAGACCACGTTCCAGGACAGCACGAAGCCGCGGGTGTTGATCAAGCAGGGTATCATCCAGCCCATGGCACGACCCGTGGCGTAAGGGAATTGGGAGAGAAGAAAAGCAGCAACGGAGCTGAACTGAAGGATCGGATAATCCGTCTCCGCCGGGTCTTGGCATCCACGCGTGATCGCGACTGCAATATCGACGCAAAACATCTGCGAAATCTTCCACTACCTCTTTCTTTCTCTCCATCACGTTGGAACACCTGGAACCTCTTGCCGTCGGCCTCACCACCCTCGCTCTTCCTATCCCACCACAGCATTTACGTACGACGTCCTTGAAGATCTCGGCCCGCTATCTTGGGAAGCAACGATGGACAGCAGCTCAAATCAACGGGACAACTCTGTCTTGTTCCCAATCTCATCCTCAACCATGTTATTTCTTCGCACTCTCTAAACCCCTTGATTCATCTATACATCTTCCCAGCCCTTATTCCTAACTTCAGAAATTCTTTTGTCGCTTTTCCTATTCCCATTTCTAGTCACAGTCCTGCCGCAGTCGCACCTCGCCTCCACGCTTGTGCCTCCTAGACCAAGCCGCCGCACAGACCGCCTCCTTCGCCGTGCATGTTCTCGTCAAAGCCTATCAGCCTCTCTCTGGTATGCCTGGGCTCTCTTCCCCACTCTCTCACGTACTATCTCGATCTGGAAAACTGTTTTGTCCGCCTACTTTCTGCCTCTGCGCTTCAGCTTCGTTCCCAAGATTATCCTGTCTCGTCCTACTGTTGTGGCTTTGCTCTATTCCTTGGGTAGCGAACATCAACAATACCTCGTACAGGAGCGCTGCACAACTTGCAAACAGAGCAGATTACCTTGTCATTCTCAGCATCTTCGCACATCGGCAACCCGCCTAGCCCAGTGCCGCGCTCCGAGTTACACGTTTGCCCCTTGTGAAGACCACATCTTGGCCTCTTCTGCTGTCATGAGCAATCGATGCAGCGCATATTTGCTAACAATACTCCAGGTGCTATTTGCCTCGGCCCTACCTTTTCGTCAATTGTTTGGTCGGTCAAGCGATTTGGATCCTGCATGCAGTCGAGGTGATGAAGATGTTTATGGTGGTGGCTTGCTAACATTTGCGTCCGTTTATCCAGGCGCCGATGCAACCCTTACGACTGGTAACTTGCCTCCTCGCTCGGTAGGGACAGTGGGTGGTGCTGACACGGCTTTACAGGCGATAGCCTCGACTCAGACAATGCACCGGTTGCGCACGAAGCAGACGTCGAATCACAAAGCTATTCGTCTGCGATCACGTTTGCCGATCCGCATCTTAGTATCCAGACGATCACCATCACCGCATTGCCTTCCTCACAAGTTCCTACTGTGACGTCTGCCAGCCAAAGCTTTCCAGACACTACAGGAGTGGGTTCATCCTCTCGTGCCTGTTCTCCATCAATCAGACAGCTAATTGGTCCAGTCACTTATTACTACTCTTGAAACTGAAGGGAATCCTCCTGTACAGCCATTTCCCACAAGTGTTCAGACTGTTGCCTCGCCCACATTAGAGCCTTTGAACAACACTGGCCCTTTTGGCAGTTCAACAGCGATCAGTGCGCAGAGTACAGTGACCGAGACCATCACATTGCCGTTGACCACTTTCGAAAGTCTCTCAACTACACAAACCGTTGCAACCGTGGCTGTGGAAACGACTGCTGTTATCACTGCTGTTACAGTCCTCAACACCACTATTACTGTCGATGGGTCCATTGTGGCGACATCGTCCGCAGGCACCACGGTCTTTACCACAACCGGGACTGACCTTGTCGAGACCACTTTGACGGCGTCATCAACAGTGACTGGGACGGTAGCGACTACCTTGACAACGGCCCTCGGTTCCATCTCAAATCTCCCTACGGTCAGTCCGAATTGCTTGTTGGGCATGGGTTGCTCTGGACAGGACATTTTTCAACCTGTTGCGCTAGGACAACCTCCCAATAACATTGAACAAAGAGGCGGACATCCTGTTCCGCGGCTTGGAATTGTGGATGCTGGGGGCCCAATTGAGACCAACAAATTCTACCAAAACTTCGTGCTGGGCTCCCAAGGTTCCCCTTGCTTTGTGATGCCCTACTCTCTGGCATGGAGCAAAGGAAGCGGGAATGCCTTGAGCTGGGGAATGGCAATATCACACCTGGACGACAGCCAGAAGCATTTTGGGCCGAACAATACCGCTATCCCAAATGCACCGGCATCTTACTACATCAATGGGCTCGGGATCCAATCAGTGATCCTGTCCGCCGTTGAATTTGGCTCAAACACAGTTCTGACCACAGATTCCTTGCTGGCTTTCTCCGCCAACGTTCGCCTTCAGCCGTCATCTGGCTCACCTTCAGTACTGACCATGCCGGTGGTCCAGGGTATGGCGTTTGTCACGGGGCAATACATCAATCTGCAGCCAGCGATACAAAGCAGTGTTTTCTTCCGGAACGTTGCGGCAGCAGGTGAACCAAAACCGGGTATCTTCAAATACAGAGTTACTTTAGAAGATGGAAAATTGTGGCTGATCTATGCAATACCAGCCAATGGACTCACCCCCAATTTCCAGCTCGTCTCAAGTACCGTTCTCCGAGGCCTGCCGAATTGGTACGGGGACATACAGGTTGCAAAGCTCTCTGACGATAGCTTGGAGTCCATCTATGATGACGCGGTCGGCGCCTATCCAACTGCCGGACATGTTTCTGGCTTTGCAGAGAACACGACCGCTCAGTACAGCTTGTCCTGGTCCAAGGGCGGAGTATATTCCAGCAACACGACTCTTCTCATGTTTGCGCTCCCTCACCACCGTGACTCCTTCGACTTCTCTACTCAGTGTAATGTCACGGCGATTGAGCTAGCTACCACGACCAAGGGCAACGCGACGGCTGTTGTGGGTGACTATTGGGTATTGGAGGAGCAAAATCTCCCAATCTCTCTGGGATTCGCACCATGGCGACCAGGGAATTCCCCGAATTTTCACGGCGCGAGTACACTCTCTCCTGCAGCGCTTTCCATCATTCAGACCGTCTCTGCTACCGAAGCCTCTCAGAACATGTCGGTCCAAACAAACCTCAACAGTATGTATTACAGTGGCAAAGCGCTGAGTAAATTTGCGCAGCTTGTTTACACCATGCATGATCTCGCGAACCAGCAAGATCTGGCCAACGCCGCATTACTTGAGCTTGAAAGCTGCTTCGACGTCTTCACAAATAATCAACAACAGTTTCCCTTGCTCTACGACACAGACTGGAAGGGCCTTGTGTCCTCGGCGAGTTATGTGACGGGGGATCCTGGCGTGGACTTTGGAAACTCGTACTACAACGACCACCACTTTCACTATGGCTACTTCCTCCACGCCGCCGCTGTCATCGGCTACCTCGATCCGACGTGGCTCAATCAGAACAAGGACTATGTGAACGCTCTAGTTCGCGACGTCTCCAATCCCAGCGTTCTGGATCAGTATTTCCCAGTCTTCCGATCCTTTGATTGGTATCACGGACACTCTTGGGCCAAAGGGCTTTTTGAATCGGGCGACGGCAAGGATGAAGAATCGTCTTCCGAGGATGCCATGTTTGCGTACGGGTTGAAGATGTGGGGCAAGACAGTCGGTGATGCCTCCATGGAAGCTCGGGGGAATCTGATGCTCGCTGTTCTGGCACGAAGCCTACAGAACTACTTCCTGATGACATCGGACAACACCAACCAGCCTGCGGCTTTCATTGGCAACAAAGTCACCGGCATCCTATTTGAGAACAAAGCGGATCATGTCACCTACTTTGGGACTGATCTGAGTTATGTCCAAGGGTATTATACGTGGTCCTCACCGTTGTCCGCCGGCTACATTACTGACGTTTTGTATAGCATCCACATGATTCCTCTCATGCCTTTCTCGACGTTGACTCGGACGGGTAAGAGCGTCCACCAACTGGAGGTGTGCACCAAACTAACTCATCTGTGACAGAACAATTTGTGACAGAAGAATGGATCACGTATTTTGCAGATGGCGCCGTTCGACAGGCTACAGACATTACTGGTGGCTGGAAGGGTGAGCCGGATGCGAGCCATTCAATGTTGCTCCGTACTGACGACTCCCAGGCATTGTTTATGCGAATTTGGCCATCATCAATCCGACAGCAGCGTACAATTTCTTCACTCAGCCTAGTTTTGACATGGGTTGGATAGATGGTGGAGCATCTCTGACGTGGTACATTGCATTGAGTGCTCTGTTGGGAGGCGCATAGTTATAGACAAGCATGGCAAGCCAGAAGATTTCTGCGGAGTTTATGGCTTCACAAGGCGTGTCAAGTGTGGCTTGAGACATGTATGGAAGCGTGTTTGGCTACCGTGACCGAAACGAGCCAACAAACTTCCCTACGACGGCTTGACAGTCTCAGTTGGACATCTGGTCATCTCTCGGGCAAGCCACAGGTGAAAGTAGGAGTTATTTTGGACCATTCTCTGACTCACGTCTCAGAACCTCGGTGAGCCCATAGTCGATATCAACATCGCTAATCGACTTCGTATCGATCGGCAGCGGCTCAGCATCGCTCCCATTGATAGCACCTCATTATCCAAACAAAAGCCTGGATTGCCGCCCTCTCAGTGATTCCGATATTTTCCGCTGGGCTTTCTCCATCTCGTCCCTTGACATGCCATCGTCCCAGTAGAAGACTAACCCAATATCCGCCGCTTCCTTGGTGTTGGGAGCCGCACTCTTGGCGAAGGGAGTCTGCTTTAATACCACGCGGGAAAGCAACCTTCGGAGAAGTCGAGGCGTGATCTCGTGAGGGCGGCCGATGTGCCAATCCTTGAGGCGGGACCCCGGCTGTGGACCTTCTAATATCAAAGAGGATTGACACTCGAGCCAGCTTTGCTCCATGTCCTCTGTCGATGTCCGTGTCGGCCTCCGACGCGTTACAAACGGTCCCACCTCCTTTTTCCCGCTTACCAGATCATGGAGCTCCTGGTACTCGTCTTCCGGCAAAGGAGGCAGCACGGCCTTGATGTTGTGGTTGTACCATTTGATGCGCAGGTTTTTGTATCGCGACTGGGGGAGGGGTGTGCCCCATATGGTCGTCTGGGGAGGGTTGAATCTTGGTTTGACTTTTAAGTGGGCGCCGACACGCGTAAAGTAGATCTGTTCACCCGCTTGTGACGTGATCAGGGCGAGGAGGCGCGGGGGTATCTCGTGTTTCCATTTATCGTTCGGCAGTTTTCGCTTCGTAGAGGACCGAGGAGCAGAGTTATCGTGGGGCGCGGTTGTGACTGTAGGGAGCAACGAAGGGTATAGGGTCTCCTTATCTATGGTGCTTTCAGAGATCTCCTCCGCGTCGTCTCTCAGCACTTCATCCAACCCTACACCGGCAGAACGGACGGCATCTGTGAGCGGCGCTTCCGCAGTCGAAGGATTCGGCTTCTCCCTGTCTTTCAAAGGCCCTTGATCGCCTTTAGAAGTTGGGCCGGCCGGATGTTGTAAGAACTTTTCCAAAAGGTCATATTTCCTAGGCCCTTTTCTTCCATAGGTCATGCGCAACACGTTCTCCAGCGGGTTGATGTATCCTTGGTTCGCATGGCGGAGGATCGAGGCGAGCTTCCTCGCCTGGTGAAGCAGTCGAGTCACCTTCTCGGGGGGGAGATCTTGTTGTCGACCACCACCACCACTACCTCCTCCTCTCCGGGCTGTGCGACTTTTGCCTTCGGGGCCCTTGTTTCTCGGTATCCAGCGACGGAAACTATCAATGGTGAACTTTCTCATGTACGTCCGACATTGCGGGAGTGGGAGGTAGGTGCATTCTCGCAGGCAAGCGCGGTAGATGTGTAGCGGATTCGTTTCTGGGGGCGGCATTCACATGGTCGATCTAGGCGGTGAATGAGCAGATGAGAGGGACAGAGGACAGGTTTTACAAAAAGAAGACGAGCTGCAATACTATGTACGTAGCCAGGTATTGCAAAATTATGGGCGGCGCAACCAAGCACAAAGTAGTACATGTGGGAAACTGTTTGACCAATAAGCGGCCGCGAGGTTCGGAGTTGGGGGGGAGAAGGCGTTGGAGCTTGGGGTGCAAGGGCTGTTAGGACGGCATGATCATCGTCCTCAAAAGGACGACAAAACAGTTTTTCCGATCCTGCGCCAGCCCAAGTCCTCGCCCTCTCTCTCCATTATACTTCAGCCAGTTCCAAGAAGCCCATGACTTTATAGTTAGAGGAAACACGCGAGGGGCGTCAGGAACCCCCCCAAGACTAGTCAGTCACCATGGTCAAGCCTTCGCCGCAATTGTGCGCCCGCCTGCGGTTCACCACCAAACAGGTCGGCCGTGGATTCTACCGCGGAAATCGGGCTGGAGCAATGGGTGCTCACACCGAATTCGGGCGATATGTGATTGACTGGCGGAAGACGGTGCATTGGAATATGCCCGAGATCAAAGACTTTCCAGTGAGTTCCTCCTAGCAACGAAAGACGTTTTCGCAAAAGTGGCAGTCACTAATTAATGTCCGCTGCTGCAAAATCAGCTCACGCCCTTCGTGACGATGGAGATGGAACCGAAAAGCAGGGCCGAGGACCGCCCCGACGGGACCACGTACGTGCCGCAACGGGTCGATGCACTCGAGTTCCTGAGGACCTGGAAAAAGACCAATCCCCTCGAGTATGACGGCATTGTGGCTCATCAAGAAGAGGAGCGTCGACGCTTTGCGGCCGTGGCGTCAGAACAGAATCGCGAGGTGGGGGAGGAGCAGGAGCAGGAGCAGGAGCAGGAGCAGGCACAGCAGGAGGCCCAGCAGTGGGCCCGAGAACAGGTTCATCAACAAAGTCAGCGATCGACTCAAAAACAAATACAACAGCAAACACGATCTATCCACACGACCAGGAGACTCGGGATGCCCGCTCAGGCTCCTGCCCCTCAAGAGCAAACAGAACCACCTTTGAAGGAGTGGAACCAAATGTCCAGAGCAGAAAGGAAGGGCCTGGTGAACAAGGCCACCACGTCGGAACTCCGCCAGCTCAGAAGAGAGCGCAAGGGTCAGAAAATCACACAGCAGGAGAAGAAGGAGACCAAGAGAGATATCAAAGGCCGGCTAAGACGAGAGCTCATTGGCGAAGGGATATTCCAGGACGAGAAGCAGCTTCAGAAACTTCTGACCGAAGAAGGCCGTCGGAGGAAGCAAGCCGGTCTCCCTCGTGCGACGGACGAAGAAAAGACTCGTTTTCTGGAGGGTTTGCAGCGGAAGCCCGAGTCAACAGGATTGTTCGGCAGGATCTTTGGTGCGAAGCAATAACCGGAACTCTCAAAACGCTGTGCCCGGACAAAGGCAGCTTCTCTCGTTTGCATCCATTGCATGAAGATTCCAGGCTGACCAGCTGCGACTCGTTTGCCTTCCCTGCGACCCCTATTTCTTCGGAAATGGAAGTCTGAGTCGTTGCACATGCACAAGACGTACTTGTCTCGCGGGGCCCCGAGCCTTAACGAAGGGCATGGAGTGGGATAATCAAGACCAAAAGATGGATTCGGGAAATATGGATTCAGGCGCTTCTTTATTCAGGCGGCCATGAAAGCAAGCCCGGAAACCAGCCTTGTAAAATGTATTATAGAGCTCAAGAAATGTTTGGGTGGCATGTAGGTCAGGGTGGTCAGGTCGCTTACGCCTTGTTCGTACCAGCATTTGCGAATAATATACCAAAATCGTTGTCCGCTCGAAAATGCGGCCTCAAGCCGTCACCTCTCATGAGATTATAATAATGCTTGGGTTCTTTCTTCATGATTAACGTCTTGTCGCTTGACAGTCTCTTGATGATCATTCTGTGGACACTAGCTCTCTCAGATATGTTTCCTGAACTTCCCATGTAGTCCTGCGTTATCTCCACCGTTCTCGCCAAAATTCCCATAGCAGCCTCGCATGCCCAGACGAGGTATTAAATCGACGGCCAGCTCAACCCGTTTCCAAACTAGGGTATGCCGCCCTGTGCTCACCCCTGGCCACCATCACTCACCCCTCGGAGGGCTGGAACGCCCGCCCCGGGTGCAGTAGCGGGTGCATCGCCAAGTCTGCCACCACAGCCGTGGACTGGCCCAATCATGTCATTGGCTCGCCCAGGTGTGTTCAAAAGCGGCGTCCTCTCCACATTTCAAGTCCTGAGAGGACGACACCACCCTTGAGTTTCTTACAGCACCAAAAGAAATATACTGAGAAGGGACCCTCCTCGCGGCCTTCGCTCGCCTCGAACCCTCCAGCTCGCGTTGGGGGATTTCACGAGATGCCTGAATAGCCCGATCTCTTGAGCGTCGACTTCCCCTCCAGCTACGAGTCCGCGGTGTTCTAGTAATATCCCCGATCTACCTGCGCTGCAAATGCCCGCATATATCACACCAGAACTCCTCGTCAAACGCTTCGCTCGTCGAAGTTTCCTGGATTAACCCCCTCAGCATCCTCTCTTGTCGATTTCCTCCTATCGTCTACATTCCCGTAGAGCGATTCTCCCTTCGAGGTTGAAAATCCCGGTTGAACCAGTCTCGTAGTGGACGTCATGAGAAGGCCTGGATAAGAGATGGGCAAGCGCCTTGGAAGATATGCTGAGCTGATGGGAGATAACATCATTGGCATATACCTCTCGAGCGAGCCGCTGTGCGACTCGAATCTGACGACGGAAGATGATGAACCAAAACTACGGCGCTTCATCCACGACCAAGAAACCATTCAAAACCTCCGTCGGCTTGGTCATGGAGAACACGGCGTCGTGGTTTCGGCCGATATCGAAGGAGCTAATTATGCCCTGAAAATCGTAAATATAATTTTGCTGATTACTCCTTTATCTAATGTGGCCTAGTTTCAGGAGTGGAAGCAACCCGGCCCCGTCTTCTACTCGAATCATGACGCCATATGCATCACACCGCTTGCGTGCGAGTGTAGGGCCTTTGCTAGACTGGATTCACGTCGCGAAAATGGAACATGGGCTGTCAGGTGCTATGGATGGATGAAACTAACAGATGCTCAATTTAAGGCGCTCGGCGGTGTTGTGGACACCCATAACTTGAGCCGATGGGTGGTCGTCAAAGAGGCTTTACCTCAGCCAACAAACCGATCACATCTCGAGACAATCTATAAGAATTTTGAAATCCCTAAGCGAGCACGAATATATCCCCGGGACATTCGAATTGAGAACTATAGAGGATCCAAGATTGTCGACCTTTCAAGCACTTTAACGAAGCCATGTCCGGAATGGAGGGGCTTCTGGTTTGATCACTTTTACAAGGAAACTATAAATAGAGTGCGTAAATGGTTTCAATGCACCTGTCGCTGTCACCTCTTCGCGGGGCGTTTGCCCTTACCTGGGCCAGACCCAGACGGCGCCGGCGTACGAGCCCTTTCAGATGGTTGTTGTACCTGTCTATAATCACTTATTCGACTCGGTGGGTAATCCTGGGCTGAGAGATCCCTCTCAGTTGGCCATATTTATGGCCCTCTGAGCGAAACGTCAGGTCGAAGGGGAAGGACAGGGAAGGGCGACGGCGGCCGATTTTCAGAACTCTGAATGGAGAGACTTTGTGCCGCCGTCGACACAGGATCCCTGTCGGGCGCGAGCGCCGAGATCCATTTTCGAAGGGAGGCGGAGGATCCTACGCGAGCGAGGTGAGTGAAGGTGAGTAAAGGTAAGTAGGAAGGTGAGAGACGTGAGCGCTGTTTAAAAGCGGCGTAGGTAGGGTAAGTGTCCAGGTGAGCTCGGCGTGAATTTACAATATCTTGACCATAACTGGAGGCGTTGCGGCGACTTATCTTCTCGACGAGTTGTTGTGATTGCGTCGGGTAAACGACCTCTTACTTCCCTTGTCTCTTGACAGCTCCCACTGGTAGTTTTCGAGGAGACTCCAAGCGTGGTTCCAGGCCTCAACTGGATTTTCCTTCTCTTAACGGGCCAAGAACGAGCTTTACAGGAAACTTATGAGCCCCCTTTATTATTTTCATAATAGAGTGTGCGGAATGGTCCTTCGCTGTCCAATGGGTCTTTGTGGGACTATCCTTGCCATACCTTTCCGCTGCCTCACGCTCTTTAATGCGTTGAAAGACTTGTGCTACGGAGCCGATATTCCCCTTTGCATTTCTTGTTCTTTAGGTAAGTATCGGCTACATTCTGCCATGCTGGAGAAACGTAAAGATCCTTCAGAGCTGACGTATGAAGAAGGCCAACGTAGCCAGCAACGAGGTCAGGCTGGGTGCGGACGTTGTAGCGCGAGCTATCAGTCGAGATTTGTAAACCTACAGTATCCTTTATCGTGGAACACGCTCAACCGGTGCCATTCGATTTTGAGTGCAACGGAACAAGTACGACCGTGGCCGAAAAAGACATTCCACGACAAGTTGTTGGGGGCGGCTGAACCGGTTTCTGACTCTGGGCTTTCTGGAGTTCCCTCGAGTATGGTTGGGTCTTTAAGAAAGAGCCAGAAGGGCAAGGCAGCACCAACATACTGAAGTTGCTAACCAGGGATTGTCGAAATCAGGAAGTTGTTGCGCCATCGAGTTACTCGTCCTTCTGCTTTACTCGGTTGTTTTCGTCTTGATCAGCAATATTGAGGCGGGACGCACGAGGTTGTTTGCGGACTGAGTAAGGGCGGCGGAAATGATTCCATCGGGTTAGCGGACACAGTCGCATACAGGGCGGCGTCACTATCGCCCCGAAAAGGGAAGAGTGAGTCGTTCCAAACTCTGGGCGCGTCAAAAGGAGGTAAATTCACGCCCAGCTCCTTTCGAGTCTCACCTGCGCTGCGCCGCTTTTAAAGGTCCCTCACCTCCCGCTTACCTTCCACTCCCCTCCACTCACTCTCGACTCATTTTCCACTCACCCACGACCCACGACCCTCGACCGGTCTTGATTCTGCTGCGACGATGATTCCCGCTCCTGCGCTCCCGACCAGGGTCCTGCACCTGTAGGTGGACAGGGTTCGCTATTCTCGGAGTCTGTGAGGCGAGTTAGCGACTATTAAAGACTTTATGCGCTTCTACGCTACCACGAGCGACCCTCGGCTTAACGAGGACATTGCGACCGTCGACTCCCTTAACTCCATCGTCGAATGGTTCTTGACTGGGTTCGGTCGAGTCACCCGGACTGAAATCGAAGAAGAGGACAGAAAAGAAGTATACTATGTGAGTACGTAGGGCGTCTTTAGATTCGTCTTCCGGTCTGGAGCTAACGCGGAGTCGCTTTAGTACATAGTTTAATCGAACAACGCTAGTGGAGGAAGGGCTGGTGGTCAACAAGTACCGTCCGAAGTACAACTTAACCGCCGAATCCCTGACGCGCATTTAGGTGACGCTTTAGACTGAGGATGACTTACTCTTCATTTCGGAGCGCTATAGGGTCCAGATAACTTTCATTAACAATATATACTACTGGACGGGAGCTCGACTATCTGCTTGTTTCACTGGCGGCCTACGTTACGAAGTGAGATTGTCTCCGTTCCTCCATTAGCAGTATCATGTCAGAGCTGCTTCCTGTATGGCTCAACGGTGTTGAGCTTCCTCAGTCACAGTCCTTTATTGCATGAGCTGGGCCGAAGAGACGCAAGGTATGAGTAGTCAAGTGACTTCAGAACAGTCTAGTGAAGTAGATGTCTTGAAATTGGCTACGAGAGAGTGTAACTATGAAAGGGTAATGAGCGTAGCTATATACTTGTGAGATGTGTCCCGAACAGGCAATTGGGAGTGGTATGTTGGTATGTTGACATGACAGCATATTAACATATCGCCATATCGTGCACTTCCTTTTTGGGTAGTCACGTTCCGCACGTGACCTAGCCTGGCTCTGCTCCACGTTCTCCGTCAGGCTGTCGCGAAGGCCATTTCTAACATATCAGCTGATGTTCTCAGGACGCGGAGATAGTACTGCAGCGTATCCAAGGAACGGGGCGATAGAGTAGGTTCAAAACTCTAGAATAATCTTAGGAAGTTATGCCCTTCCATATAGAATCCTTTTCCAGTGTCTCCATATCATCTTTCCGCAGCATAAGTAGTACTTCTACTATATCTTTATCCGCATCGTCACGATTCAATCTCTTCCTCGGCAAGATAATGCAAACACCATCAGCTTGAGCCCCTGGTATTCGTATAAAGCTTGGTTTACCAAGTTCTGGACCAAAGTCAATGTCGTACAGGCCCACATCCGCCCAGCTTGTAATTGTGAGGTCATGTCCAGCTAGAGGGTCCCATCCAATGAATATAGATTGATAGTCTTTCACTCTTGTAATCAAACTATACGTCTCTGCAATATGGCGACAATTGATCTTATCACGTGAATTCGATGCGGCGATCGTATCACATATCCTTGCGAAGTTTTGGATAGATTCTTGCTGGGTTATATTGAGATCCTGCTTCGATAGTTTAGCGAGGGAATATAGTACGATGTTACCGATATAGGGGTTTGTTGGACTTGAGAAGTCTTCCCCTAGGCATCGTCGGCCGTTGACTGCCATTGCCAAACGGGTGTTTCCGCTTGCAGGTGGCTGGCGTTGATTGCGGATTCGAGTGATTGTTGACCAGATAAGAGCACATATTATCGTGTTGGTGGTGTGAATTTTAGTGGTATAGTTCCGAAGAAGTTTTTTACTTGCTTCCGCTTGTGCCGCCGGTATGGCAAACAATTTCGAGGTGCAGGATGGAAATTCCGACGGCAAGGAAGGTGGCAGTTGGGAATACTCTGCATGCCTAGCAAACAAAGCCTCTAAAGACTGGTCGTTAGCAACAGTGAGCTCGGAAGTAAGCACTTTTGAGAGTCGATCCAATCGGCTGTCGGACGAAAAGCGCAATCCAGACCCGGTGAGGTTCGAGACCCACAGTCTCACTAGGTCAGTGAAACCTTGTGCATCGGTTACATTATGGTGAATGCAGATGGTCAAGCCCACGCCTTGTCCATCTCCAAAGCGAAAAATCCCGGTCGAAAAAGCTTGAGCCCCATCTTTGAGGAAAGCGACATTGTCAACGTCTTGTAACGGCCAGATACCAGCAGGAAGCGCGTTGGGGATCATTCCATCTGCAGCCGCTGAATCGTACGACATAGGAATTGAGCCCAGGTCATGCAGCGTGGGTGATCCGTCCTCACTGTGCCAGCGTAGCTCAAGAGAAGGTTTCATGGCAGCTGACTCCGTAGTGACGACTCGCCCATTCAGCCATGGTATCTGCTGTGCAGTGTCGTTTAGAGCACATTGAAGCGGCTGGATAAGCCGCGCGACGGATTTCGTCGTTTTGAAAGTCAACAACACCCGAAGATATGTTCTCGGCATGATTAAGTCGAGCGGGGTAAGGCGCTGGCTGTGTAAATTGCTGGCCATAGCTAGATCGAGGTTCGTTTTCTTGAACGTGGTTATCTTGATATGCTATAGTAAAGAGATGCACAGTAGGCCTATGTACGAGAAGAGAAACTTACAAAGATTTGATCTCGCAAACGGTGAGTGAGTGATGTAGTATCATCCTGACGCGGCGCCAAGCCTTTAGCGTGGTTCGTAATACCGAGCAAACTACCTCATACATGTAACGACTATACGTACAGTGCTTCTCGTAAGTCCGTGAATTTTTATGACTTTGCCGAGGATGCCCCCGTCCACTCTACTCAAAATGCGGTGGAGGTATAGTAATTACCGAAAGTTGTGGATGAAGCAGCAGGAGAAAGTTACCTAGCCGAAGAGAAAAAGATGTAGCCTAACATAGGTCGCCAACGCTGATAAACAGCCGCCTTCCCACGCAAGACTTTTGAGCCCGAATATTTGCCTCAACGCAGGATGGATTCTGGGGGCATCAACAATCTCAACACGTTGATGAAAAGGTCCGTGAACAAAGTCTTCCCTCTTCTATCTTACTCCTGTACCGATTCGTTACGAGGACATTGGACAATGGGATTGTTATTGACGCTAAATATCTAGACTTGAAGCTGTTACATCACGTATTGAAGATGCTGCGACGTTTTGGGAACAAAATTCGAAAGCTGCGAATCAGCTTAAAGTTGAAGCTTTCAGAGAGCTCGGCGATGGAAAAGTTGACTTAAACCCAAGACAGCCACCAGCTCTGCCATTGCCTGCTGCGATCGAGTCCTTTGATCGAATCATCAAGGAAGAAGTTGGAGATCTTATCAAATGCGGTGCCCAAATAGGCGGGCCGGTGGAGCAACAAGTATGTTGAACAGCTCCAGATCCAATGCCTTGATTTTCTAATACATGAATCACACCTCGCAGGCCAAGGCGTTCAAGAGGGCATTTGAGGCCGAACGAACATTCCTTCTGGTGGCATCAAAAGCTAAACAGCCAAACCCAATGCCCCCGGAGATGACTGCCGAGCTTGAACATTGTATTGCTGTTGTGATTGAGACCCAGGGGGCAAATCGCGCCTCTCCGCTATTTTTTCACCTAAGCGCAGTGTCTGAAGGTGTTCTGGCGCTCAGTTGGATCGTCCAGAAAAGACCGATTGATTTTGTCAAGGACGTCTTTGCCGCGGCCCAGTACTTCGGCAACAAAGTCCTCAACGAGTATAAGCACAAGTATATCCGGTCAATGTTATCCACCAAGCAACCACAGCTAATACAGCGCCAGGGACACTACTCACGTAGAGTTTATTCATGCATACTACAACATCTTTCGCTCTCTAACCATTTATGTTAGGGAATACTTTGCGTTCGGTCTTACATGGAATGGGAAGGATGCGATAGATGCCCGCGAAGCGTTGAAACTGTTGTCGTAATATCTCCTTGTTTCGGAACAGCCTCTGAGAAGACCTGACGCCTCCTACCATTGGGAAAAGTACACCGATTGGACAAAGGACACTTCAGCCTCGTTGGCAAGGCTGGCGTCACATGACACCCAAGAAGGGAAGGAAGCATTGTGCCGTCCTCGGAATGTGACCGCAGGGAGACACAATGACACAACACCACCACACCATAGCAAGGTTCATTACTGCTTTGGGAAGTTCTGGGATCTATATAAGTCGGCACCCCTTCCATAGTTGCCCACCGGGGATTCACAGAACGTAGAAACCCGATCTACCGAAACTCGGCGTCGGCCGCCCCCTCCGGCCCCTTGTAGTTCCACTCTCTTCTTCTCGTATGGTCCTAGGAGTTCACTGCCACTCCTCCCCGCGTCTGGTCGATTTGTTTGTGTAACAGCTCAGAGGGTATCTTACCATCTGGGTCGCGGGAATATTGGAGTGGAGGTGTAGATGTAGACCTAGGGTGGTGAGAGACGCGTGGCGTCTTATCCGGACTCGCGCGAGCTGGGGGTGAGCATAGGGCGGCATCACCCTAATCCCGAAGCAGGGTGAGCCGGGCGTGAATTTACCATCTCTTGGCATCATGAACTGAATTTTGTCCTGGTATTTCGTCCCTCGCATTCACCCCGCAATATCAACTGAGTCATACTCATTCGCCGCCAGATATATCCTGCAAACGTAGAGGATTCTCCCAGAGCGCCGGCATCTACCACGGCTTTGTGTTGAGAAATTACCAGGTTCAGAGTACTGACCAGAAATTCAGACTTCTGCACCGTTTTCAGACCCATCCACAATCATGGCTACCAACGGTGATTTGCCGTCCGATGACGAGTTTTCTCAACCCGGCACACCCCCTGGCGACGAGAACGATGTTGATGATATCGAGGAAACCAACCAGCCACCCAAGTCCGCCCTCAAAAAGGGTACCTCAGCAACCATCCCCGAAGCGCAGGTCCCTAGACCGGTTCTGCCTGAACAACCCGACCCGAAAGACCTCGATGTCTCGAAACTGACTCCTCTATCACCCGAGATCATCGCAAGACAAGCTACGATCAATATTGGCACCATAGGTCATGTGGCTCACGGCAAATCGACCGTCGTCAAGGCCATCTCAGGCGTGCAAACTGTCCGATTTAAAAATGAATTAGAACGGAACATTACCATCAAGTTGGGATATGCCAACGCCAAAATCTACAAGTGCGACAACCCCGAGTGTCCCAGACCTACATGCTACAAATCCTACAAATCGGAAAAGGAGGTCGACCCTCCTTGTGAAAGAGAAGGATGTGGCGGCACGTACCGACTTCTGCGTCATGTGTCGTTTGTCGATTGCCCTGGTCACGATATTCTGATGAGTACCATGTTGTCTGGCGCCGCCGTCATGGACGCCGCATTGCTTCTGATAGCAGGGAATGAAAGCTGCCCCCAGCCACAGACTTCGGAACATCTTGCAGCCATCGAGATCATGAAGCTCAACCATATTATCATCCTACAGAACAAGGTCGACCTCATGCGAGAAGAAGGCGCACAGGCACATTACGAGTCGATTCTGAAATTCATAAAGGGCACCGTCGCGGATGGCTCACCGATCATCCCCATCTCTGCCCAGCTGAAGTACAATATTGATGCGATCAATGAATACCTGGTCACCAAAATCCCTGTTCCGGTGCGAAACTTCAGCGCAGCACCACATATGATCGTCATTCGATCGTTTGACGTGAACAAGCCTGGCGCAGAAATTGAGGATCTCAAGGGTGGTGTCGCAGGTGGTTCTATCCTCACTGGCGTCCTTAAACTCGGTGACGAAATCGAAATCCGCCCAGGTATCATCACGAAAGACGCAACCGGTCAGACTGTCTGCCGCCCAATCATGTCCCGTGTGGTGAGCTTGTTCGCCGAACACAACGATCTGAAATTCGCCGTGCCCGGAGGTCTGATCGGCGTGGGCACACGTGTGGACCCAACACTTTGCAGAGCAGACCGTCTCGTCGGCCACGTCTTGGGTCTGAAGGGCCAGCTCCCGGAAATCTACATGGAACTTGAGGTTAACTACTTCTTGCTCCGGCGTCTGTTGGGCGTCAAGACTGCAGACGGCAAACAAGCCAAAGTGGCCAAACTCGCAAAGAACGAAGTGTTGATGGTGAACATTGGGTCTACAGCGACGGGCGCTAAGGTTATGGGTGTCAAGGCTGATGCAGCCAAACTGACCTTGACTAACCCAGCCTGTACGGCGATTGGCGAGAAGATTGCACTGAGTAGAAGAATCGAGAAGCACTGGCGATTGATTGGGTGGGCAAACATTGTGGCCGGCAATACCATCGAACCAGAGTCTTCCTAGGACGGGACTTTGAGATGAGTCTGTCGCTACGTGAGGGGTGGAGCTGAGCAGAGAATGCTTAGGACGGAGAAAGAGGGGGAGGTCTCGGAACAGATGAGGGACCCTTGAAACTGGAGGGTAACAACCAGACTGCCATCGAGGGCGGAGTCCGCGACTGGACGAAATGAAATTTGACATGGCACGACAGCTACGGAATATTGATGAAGCTCAAGCGACACGCCTAGCGAGAGGGGGGAGACATGTCTTTGGCGTCGTTGCACACTCATCTCTTGCCACCGGTTGGGAGCCAGATGTTCCGTAGGATGAAGCCACAGGTGATTGAGGAAAGGGGAGAAACCAATGACGGACACGATACGAAGACAAGACCCTTGCAACGAAGAGATTATTGAAGAGAACAAAAGAGACAAATCCAGTCATGACGACTTTTCTTTCGCCGAAGTATGAATGTATCCAGTCTCGGCACCGGCCGACCCTTGGCAGCCGTGTCGGTGGCAAATGATGGAGTTGCAGATCCGAACGTCGAGGGTTATGTCGAGACAACCCACACAATGAAATGCCACTGGCAGAGAATTCGAGTCCCATCAGGGTGATCGGGAGAGAAGCGCGGTTGAGGAAGGAGCCTGGGCATATGAATCGGCCGGACACGATTGGTGATGATGACTGGGGAGATCTGGGGACCAGGAGCGATTGCGATTATTCAAGATTTGTGAGATCCTTTCAAGGAGAAGCGGATACCTAGGATCCTCGCGAGCAAAAAAGCCTTTGGTCGACCTTGACTTACTTCTACGCGGAGATAGATGCGAAGTGCAAATACAGCATTACCTGAGTATTATGTGCGTGCGTGCGTGTGTGCGTGCGTGCCTTCGTGCATTACTGCGTCTTGATTCCATTGGGACGTGGGCTCCTGGGCAAACACAGTACAGTAGAGTACAGTACAGTAGAATCGCCATCGCCATCGCAAGGGTATACGTAGGTTGATGGAAAATCACAGTAGTGGTAGGTATGTAGGTATGTAGGTGCGGCATGGAAGTAGAACTTTTGATACAGCAAGGCACCAACCAACCGACCAACTCAGCAAGCTCGACTACCTTAACTATCCAGGTGCCAGGTAGGTATCTATATACCTCGTACATACTGTACTTGCGTACGGACCTGGTACTGCTGGCAACGCGCGCCGAGTCTGTTCGTCCATAACATCCATCGAGCCATGGTATCCCAACCACCCACTCACTGTACGAGGTACGCAACCTGAGACTGTCCAAGAAACACCAAACCAAGAAATCATGTGTCCCCATTCCGGTTCCAGTTGCCAGGTCCTAGTCCAATACCCCAGATAATCCGATAGCTCGACTAAGAATCAAGCCTCTCTTTTGAAACCCAGCAAAGTCGTATAGTATTAGCACTACCACCACCGGTTGATGGGCGAAGTCTTACGACTCGCTGTCGTTGTCGGCACTGTCTTCCTCACTGTGACTCTGGCTATCGTCATCATCGGATGCGGCGGTCCTGTTCCGGCTACTGGCACGACCAGCTCGACCGGACACGTTCCCCTTTGCTTGACTCGGTTTGGGGTTGGTGATTCTCTTCTTTCCCGCTTCCTCTGATGACGGCGAGGACGTTGATGTGGTCGATGAGTCGTCATCAGAAGTGCTGCTGCTGCTGCTGCTGATGTTCTGCTTCTTGTTGTTGTTGTTCTGGCTCTGACTCTTGCTCTTGCCCTCGTCTTGACCCGTCTTGCGGGGGGGTACAACGACCTTGACGTTCTTAGTCTCCTCCTCTTCGCTTTCGTCGTCACTTTCGTCGTCATCGTCGTCATCGTCATCGTCATCACCGAGGGTGAAGGTCATCGGCTTCTGTTTCTGTTTGGCCGCATTTACACGAGAAAGGACGCTTTCCGCTGCAGCCTTGCTCGCTTTGCTCGCACCCCGGACCACCTCGTGCAGGTCGACCAGGCGCTTAGCTGTCCCGAGTGTCGGCTTTTTCGTTTGAGGCGTTTTGGCAGGTGTCTTTCCTATCTTCGACTCACTCTTTGCGGCCGGCGCCGGGGTGGTGGATCTCCCTGTCACAGAGCTCTTGGCTTTCTCAGACGATTGTGCGCCAGCACTCGGCTTGGGTGTCTTGCTGATGGTGAACGACTGTACAGAAGGGCTTTTTGTGGATGCTTTGGCGGGCGTCTTTAGCGGCACTTTGGGTTCGGTGCTTTGCGACTTTGAGAAGCTCGTGTTGGAGGACTCACGCCGGACAGACGCTGCTTTGCCTGGGGTCGACGCTTTTTCCTTTTCGCTGTCTTTCGCCGAGTCAGGTCGTGTTACCTTGTCAGCTGGGCCAGGTGAATCTTCTTGGAAAGAAAGACTTTTAGACGTCCTAGTGTTCGCTAGAGTGACAGCAGGCTTTGGCTCGGGAGTCTTGGATCTCTGCGGCCCTGCGCTTTTGTCCACCGGCGACTTGTCCGTGGTAGATTTCTTCTTTGTGGCAGCGCCCTGCTTTCTTTGGCCTTCAGCAGTCTTTTTCGCCTCCAACTGTCGCCGCTTCTTATCCGCTTCATATTGCTCTTTGGTCATGCCTTTACGGCTTTCCAGAATCCTGATCTCTTCTGGAGTCAAGCCCAAACCAAACGACGAGGTCTTGGAGTCGGCTT